AGGTCCCCGCTGCTCGTCGGTCCTCGGTTGATGCTGCCGGGGGAGCGCGTGGCGACCGTGCCCGGCCGCGCGGCCTCGACGCCGGATGCCGCTCTTCGAGCTCCTCTGGCCCGTCGACGGTGCCTGCCCAGCGTCGCCGAGGGCCAGTCGTCCCCACCCACGCGGAGGAGCCGCGAGGCCACTCGGCGGTGCTTTGAAGAGCTCACGGCGCCCCCGCTGGCGGCCACCGAACCCGAACCCGCTCTCCCCCGCATCCTCGACCCGGCAGCCCCCCCGGCCCGCCAGCTGCAGCGCCGCGCGAACGAGCGCCACGCGGGGGGCGCGGTCGCGCTGCCCTCGCCGGCGGCGCCCTCTGCCCTATGGGAGCCGCTGGGGGTGCGGCGGCTGCCTGCCGCGGCGCCTTCCCCGAGCACGAGCCTGGCGGGCTGGGCGCGCTCTTCGCGCCTGTCATGTGTGTTGTGTGTTGTGTGTTGTGTGTTGTGTGTTGTGTGTTGTGTGTTGTGTGTTGTGTGTTGTGTGTGTGTGTGTTGTGTGTTGTGTGTTGTGTGTTGTGTGTTGTGTGTTGTGTGTTGTGTGTTGTGTGTTGTGTGTTGTGTGTTGTGTGTTGTGTGTGTGTGTGCGTGCGTGTGTGCGTGTGTGCGTGTGTGTGTGTGTGTGTGTTGTGTTCTTTTCCCCACAGTGTGTGTGTGTGTGTGTGTGTGTGTGCGTGTGTGTGCTGATTTTTTTTTTTTGTGTGTGTGTGTGTGTGTTTGTGTGTGTGTTTTGTGTTCTTTTCCCCACAATGTGTGTGTGTCTTTTTTTCTTTTCCGCAGTCGCAGACGCCGCCCCCGCAGCCCGGGGCCAAGGCGACGAGCCCATGGCGGCTCCCCTCCTCCGGCGGCTCGCACGCTCGCTCTGCCGAGCGCGCCGGCGGCGGCGGCGGCGGCGCGCGGGCTCCGCCGACCCAAAGCGGCACGGGGCGCCGGGCGTACGCTCAAGTCGGACGTGTCCCCCTACAGTGGGGCGTGTCCCCCTAGAGGGGGATTTGGGCCCCCCCCCCAAAAACAAACTCGAAAAATACCCCCCAAAATCCCTCCCCCTCGATCCTCGATCCCTCCTCCTCGATACTCGAGGGGGAGGGATCGAGGGGGATTTAGAGTCTTTTTTTACAGGAAAAACTCAAAAAATACCCCCCCCAAGTGCGCAAAAATAGTCAAAACATCGTCCCCAGCAGACTCTTCTCTTTTGCAATTTTTGAATATTTCTCCTGTAGAGGGACAGGCCCGACTTAAAAGCGTACGCCCAGCCCTCCGGGAGGGGAGGGCCGGGAGGCCTGGCCCCTCCACGACGCGCGGCCCATCGGCGCCGGGAGTGGCCCGCAACCCGCTCGCCGCTCTGGCACTCGAACCAGAGCGGCTTGAGCCGAAGTGGCTTGAGCCAAAATGGCCACGGCGTCAAAACACACACACACACACACACACACACACACACGCACGCACGCACGCACGCACGCACGCACGCACACACACACACACACACACACACACACACGCACACACACACACACACATGCAGACACACCACACATACACACCGGAATTGTACAGCAAGATCTGGCACCAGAAAGAAAAGCAATCCGCCGACCCGCACTTGGGTTACGACTGTCAATTCGCGATTCCGCTCTTGGGCCCCTAATCTGGCCCTCTCGAGAGCCACTTGAGCCTTCTTGGGGGTCGTCTTGAAACACTCTTGGGCCGCCCCGGGCTCCGTGGGATGGTCATGGGCCTTTTTGTGCCGATCTCGGGGGCCTCGTAGGTCAGTTTGTGCGTTCTGAGGCAGGCGAGAAGGCAAACATTAATCAAAACTTTACCAGCCATCAATGGAGGGAAAGAAAACGGGGACCACGACCAAGACCGAACGCAGAAACGCCGTCCTCATCTTGTTTAGCGTCGATCTTGGCCAGCGTCGGTTCGTGGGAAATCCTCACGAACCGGCGACGGCCGACATGGACCGTGACCAAGAACGGCATCGACAAGATCCAGCGGCATCTTGGTTGTGGTCCCCGTATTTCTTCCCTCGAGTCAATGCTTGTGTTGCCTGCAGAGGCTCTCTCAGGAGCCTCCTCGGAACCCACTTCGGGTGTATTGGGGCCCCGTTGAGCTACTTTGAGGCCTCCTTGGGCCGTCTTGGCGTCTTCTTGGGCGTCTTCAGGGGGCTCGTAGGGGGTTATCGGGGCAACACTGGCGCCTCCCAAGGGTACCTGTACCTATGTTGTGCGATCCTGGAGCTGGTGAACCCGCCGGGGTTGGGGGCCAGGCGGGCCTATGGCCGCTGTGGGCCAAAAGGGGATGAAGCGAAAGCCGCCTCGCGCAAGCCGCTGTTGGACCCTCCTGGGGACCCTCTTGGGGCCATCCTGGGGCCCCAGGAGCGCCCCCCAGAGGCCCGCAAGCGGGCCCCGCGAGGGCTCCGAGCAGTCGCGAACAGCGATGAGCAGCCACGTGCAGCCACGAGCAGCCGAGAACAGCAGCAGCAAGCTGGAGGGAGGGGTGGCATCACATTCCAGCGGATGTTGAGTCACGTTCAGGGGGCGTTGTAGGTCGATGTGTGGCTGGTGCTGGGATCGGACTCCGGAGGCGCAGGGTCAGGCTTGTGGGGATGCGGGAGCGAGCTTCAGAGGGATGCCACATCAAAATCCTGAGGACACTCGGTCAAACCATGGGCATGAGGGGCTTGATTTCGCCCGCACGGGAATCAGCTATACCTCACGAGCGGGTAGCCGCGATACCCTCTCCACTACCTGGAACGTAACTATTAGTTCGGCGACCGTATTGACGGACTGGGGCCCCACCACGAGTGGAAAAGAGCTATTTTCTCCTCGGCAACCACTGCACAACATCGACAACAACAACGACTACTGTTACGACTGCAACCACGATTCGACTACAGCTACGGCTACGGCTACGGCTACGAGCAATTAGCGGCCACGACTACTACTACGACTACGACTACGACTAAGAGCAGTTTGCGGCAACGTGCGACCCAAAGCGATGTGCATTCGCATTACAATCCCCATGAGAAGATGCTCAAATTCCTCTCGCGTGGGGGAAGCCCACGGTGGATTATTCGTTGGGAGAAGGATCACCCACCCAAGAATATCCAGCCAACCGAAGACCACTGGAACGTATTCCCCTGTCGCCGCAGGCGCTGACCAGGCGCCAGCAGCAGTTCTGCCAGCAACAATAGTCAGTCGAGTTTGAGAAAATTCGCAAATCAAAACGATCTAGATTCCTATTGCAATCCTCGCGAGAAGACAGTCGCACATCCTCTCGCGGTGGAAGGCTGCCCACAATTGAATATTCCCTGGGAGACATGAGCACCCAACACTACCCAGCCCGCACAACAATGGAGGGAAATAATCTCTGCCGCGACGACGACGACGGCGACGGCATCGTCGCAGCCGTCTTCGTCGGCGTTGTCATTGCCCAACGAGCCCATCGAGACGGAATGCGCGAGGGTTTGACCCTCACGAGTGCCTCCCCGTCCTTCCTCTCCTCTTCTTGCCTCTCGTCCTCCTGTTCCTCCTCGCTCCTCCTGTTCCTCCTCCTTTCCCTCCTCCTCCTCCTCCTCCCCCTTAGGAATGAGACGAGGAGGAGCAGAAGAAGGAGGAGGGGCGAATCTATTCCCCGCCGAGAAAAAGCCGGAGAGGTGGGCAAGAACTACAGACTCATCGTGGTCACGTTGCTCCAGACGACCGCCACAAAGGAGCTGCTGCGAGTGTTTTCGAATTCTCTGTCGCGTGTGATTTCAGTGTGGTGTGCATCATAACTATTTGTACATTGCCGAACCAAGAGTGTATTGATTGTGCGCATGTTGCTTCACGTGTTCGGTTGCCCATTATGTATAAGCGTTGTGCGAGTGTTTCATTGCTCTCTACGCACGTGTTTGTGTACGCTCGTGTTGCATTGTGACGCCCGCGCTTCGCATGTTGGTGTAACTGATGAGACCCCTGCAGCATGCTCTATACGGATGAAGTTCTCATGTGGCGTTTGAATCCCAACCTTGATTGACATGATGGTATGTGTAAGTGCCGCCTGGCATATGTACATTGTTGTATATATGTGCAGATTTATATACGCATACATCAAATACTGCTGCACGAGCTTAACGTAAGCAAGTTGCGCGTGCGATTGCTAGGTATATGACGTGGGACAGTTGCGCGTGCTACTTCTAGATAAATATGATGAAAACTGGTGGTGCGAATCGCTGATGGCTACGATTTGTATATGTGATTGCCATTCGTGATGATTCGTAGTTCGGCGTAGTCTGTGTGCCTATGCCGTTGCTGCATGTCCATGATGTGTGCTGTTTTGTGTACCGGTAGTATGCTGTTGATCCATCTTCTTGGCGTGTGGTGTTGATGTGCGTGCGTGTGTGCGTGTGTGTGCTTGATGTACAGGGTTGATGCCTGCTCTTGATGTGTGTTCATGGTTTGTGTGTGTGTGAACACGACCCCCGTTCTTGATGTACTGCCTTGATGTATGGCCGTGCCGAATGTTATTCCTGCGTGATGTTGGCGGAGGAAGTCCCAGACCTCCCTCGAGATCTCCCCTGTGCCCGTGCCCCGCTGCAGCACACGTCTCCCCAAGTAAGTAGAACATGGCAGTGATGCAAGCGGTGCCGCTAAGGAGCTCCTGCTACACCTCGGGCGGCGCTGGCGGCGCCGCCAGGAGCTCGCAGGCGCAGGCGTCGTGTGCGGCGGGGCGGTACCCAGCGGCGGCGGGCGCTGGGCCAACCACGGGGGGAGCGGCACCTGACAGGCGCTCGGCGCGAGCAGGTTCCTAAGCACGGCGTCGGTGGGGTAGAAGCCGCCCCACCGCCACAACAAATCAAGCAAACAGCGTCGCGCTATCGCCCGTGACCCATGGCAGGGGGGGCTCTCTCAAAAAAAGGCCGCCGCCTAGCGACTCCGTGCGCGCTGAGGCGGAGGAGCCCCGACACCTGCCTGCCTCCCCGCCTCGGCGTCAGAGGTTGAGCCGCTGCACGAGGGTGAAACCCGACGGCAGACGGCCCAGCGGCGCCGCGGCCGCCCACGCGCCCCGCGGCACCTGGCCGCCCCACGCGGCCGCGCCCTCTCCGCCGCACCACGCCCCTGCGGCCTCACCTGGCCAGAGTGCGCAGCGCGCGCGGCCCAGGCTGGCGTGCTCCGCCGCTGCCGCCGCGCGCCGCGCTGCCGGGCCCGGCGCGCGCCCGGCGGCGCCGCTGCCCGCGCCCTCGCCGCGACCAGCGGGGACCTCGGTGAGGGCGCCGGCCACGGCTGGGCCTGGCGGTGGCGCTCGCCCGGCCGAGGCCGCCTGCCGGGCGCAGGGGGAGAAACGCGGCGCGCCGCGCAGGACCCCCCCCCCTGGCGCGTCGTGCGCCTGGCGCGGCACCGGCGGCGCCGCCAGGAGCTCGTGGGCGCAGGCGTCGTGTGCGGCGGGGCGGTGCCAGGCGGCGGCGGGCGCCGCGCCAAGCCACATGGGGAGCGGCACCTGGCGGGAGCTCGGCGCGAGCAGGCTCGTGAGCACGGCGTCGGTGGGGTAGAAGCCGCCCCACCGCCACAGCTGCCGCACGAAGGGGAGCGCGTGGGCCGGCTGGGCGTGGCGCTGACGCCCGTGCAGGAACCTCGCCATGAGCAGCTCCAGCCCCTGCGTCGTCGAGTGCGACACGCTCACGCCTGGGGAGTTGCGGAGCGCCTCCTGGAACCTGAGGGCAGGGTCCGTGCCAGAGAAGTTGATGAAGCCGTGGCGCCGGCGCGGCAGGTGGACAAAGTCGTAGGTGCCCTCCAGGCCACACATGTCGGCCCAGTTCATCAGCTTCGCCGTCGTGCAGCCCTCTGGGAGCTTCCGCAGAAACAGCGTAACCTCTGGAGGAACGAAAACAGCCTGTGATGGGCCGATGTTCCACCACCACTACAATATGTAGGAGAGGGAGGAGGAGGAGGAGGAGGAGGAGGAGGAGGAGGAGGAGGGGAGGAGGATTAGAAGGGGGAGGAGGGGAGAGGGGGAGGAGGAGGAGCTCCCCAATCCTCCTTCTGCCCCGTCCTACCTGTGGCAGCGGTGGCGGAGAAGGAAGGAGGGGAGGAGGAGGAGGAGAAGGAGGGGGAGGAGGAGGAGGGGGGGAGGAGGAGAGGAGGAGGAGGAGGAGGAGGAGGAGGAGGGGAGGAGGAGGAGGAGGAGCAGCAGAGGAGGAGGAGGAGGAGGAGGAGGAGAAGGGGGAGGAGGAGGAGGAGGAGGAGGAGCTCCCTACCTGTGGCAGCGGTGGCGGAGAGGGGGCCCAGCAGCACACGTCTGCGCTGTGCGGAGGTCCGCGCGGAGGTCGTGGGAGCGCGCAGGCCCGGGGCGGCGCCTGGGCCGCCTCCGGGTGGGGAGCCCGGCGCCGACCCACGAGAGATCCGAGCGGACTGCCGGAGGTTTTTGTGGTAATGCCTTCAGTCGAAAACCCTAATAAGGATGCGCGTCCAAGGAGGATGGACCGAGGAGGCAAGGATGCAGGGGGTAGGCTTGGGGTAGGCTTGGGGTAGGCTTGGGGTAGGCTTGGGGTAGCCTTGGGTAGCAGGGGGTAGCAGGGAGTAGCCGAGCGGACCACCGAAGGTTTTTGTGACAACCCTTGTGGTAGCAGGGGGTAGCCTTGCGGAGGTTGCCCATCCTTACTATGCGCGTTGGCTGTAGGTGGCCGCATGGGAACCCGGCCCTCGCCCCCCACGGCTTCAAAGGGGGGGGGGGTGTTCACTCCGTTCGGGAGCTCCCGAAGGAAGTGAGCCCCCACCCCCCCTTCAGAAATCGTGGGGGGTGGAGGTTCGAGCCATGGCCCTGGTGGAACAACTCCCAGACTACAGTCAAAAACCCTGACAAGGACGCGCGGTAAGAACGCAAGACCCTCGGACGCCGAAGCTGGGACGCTTGGGGCGGCGGCCGACGAAAACCCCAAGGGTACCCTGACAAGCGGGCAAGCGAAAGAGGCCAAGGACGAGCCGCAAGAGCAAGGCAGAGCAAGGACGCAAGGGTACTCCAGATTTCGTAATAAAGGGAGGGGGGTCTCATTTCTGGGGGGGGTCTCTTCCAGGCTATCTTGGAGGGCCTGGGGGGGTCTGGGGACGATGTTTTGGAGGGTTCTCCCACGGGGGAGGTCTGAAGTGGCTTGTCTTGGAGGGTCCAGACCCCCTTCCTTTTCTTACGAAATCTGCGGTACCCGGAGCAGCGTCGCGCGTCCTTGTTGGGGTCTTTGACCGTGTGCTTTTGCAGCGCTCCCCGGGGCTCGAGCCTCCGTGGGGCTCGAGACGTCCGCGGCCCACCTCCGGATCCGCTCCATCGCGGACGCGGCGTCCATGGGTGCTGGCTGGGTAGTCGAAGCCAATCTGGCGCCAATCTGGCAGGCCCAATCTGGCAAACGGGGGCAATCTGGCGAGGGAGCCAACGCGAATCCAGTCTGGCGAATAACCCAAGTCCTCAAATATGGCCAGGTCAGATTGGCCCTTGGGGCCCAATCCAGTCTGACAGTCTGGCCTTCGACTACCCAGGCTGGGAGGCAGCTCCTGGGAGGTCTTCGTCGGAACGATGTGAAGAAAAGTCGGCCGAGCCCGAGGAGAACGCCAAGAAGCCAGATCAGCGCCCCTCAAACGGGGACTCCACTAAAGGGTACTTTGCCCAGTGACCCAGCGAACCCAGCCCTTCCCGAGGCGGGCAACGCTGCATTGCCAGAAAGAGGCCCTAAAGTGGCAACTGTCGGCAAAATTGCAAAGTACCCGTTAGTAAGTACCCGTTACGGTGCCGTTGACCAGAGAAAGCGTGACTGAGCCCGGGATTGAGCCAGATTCAGGGGGATGCAGCGGGACTGCGCGGGATTTAAGCCAGACTGCGTTGGCCTCAGACCACGGATGCGCCTTGGCGGCGCGCACAAGGGGGTATGGGGGAGGGGGGGAAGGCTCCATAGAAACAGCCCCCCCTGCTTCTCAAGAGGTCCCGCCCTACAACTATAGATAAGGCCTGCGCCCTCTAAGACGCAAGGGGTGATTCTAAGAAGCCTTCCCCCTGGGTTCCTGAACAAGCGTGGGAGGGTACCCCTCCGACGGGGGTCAACATCACCTCGTCGTCGCGCCGCGACGGAGGTCGGACAGCCTTTGGCGCGCGGTGGCTGCCCGCGACGGGGGTCGATGTGGGGCTGTCGGAGGGGGTGACGCTGAATGAGAAACTCGGAGTACCCCCTTCTGCGCGTGGCCGAAAAACCAGCGCCGACTCTGACTGTGAAACCTCCCAGGAGGGGCATCCTTGTGAGTGCAAGTTTGAAACGCTCTGAGTTATCTTGAGCCACGAGGGGGGGGGGGCGGCGGGGCCTCTCCTCGTGGGGGCTCGAAGGCGCCTGCTGGCCCCCAGAACAACCACACAACAACGTCCTCCCTCCGCCTCCTCCCCCTCCTCCTCCTCCTCCACCTCCTCCTCCTCCTCCCCCTCCTCCTCCCACTCCTCCCACATCCTCCTCCCCCTCCTCCTCCTCCTCCTCCTCCCCCTCCCCCCCCTCCCCCCCTCCCCCTCCTCCTCCTCCTCCCTCCTCCTCCTCCTCCTCCCCCTCCCCTCCTCCCCCCCTCCCCCTCCTCCCTCCTCCACCTCCCCTCCTCCTCCTCCTCCTCCTCCCCCTCCTCCCTCCCACTCCTCCCCTCCTCCTCCTCCTCCTCTTCCTCCTCCTCCCCTCCCCCTCCCCCTCCTCCTCCTCCTCCTCCCCTCCTCCTCCTCCCCTCCTCCTCCTCCCCCTCCTCCTCCTCCCCTCCTCATCCTCCTCCTCCTCCTCCTCCCCTCCTCCTCCTCCTTCTATCCTCCTCCTCTCCTCCTCCTCCTCCTCCTCCTCCTCCTCCTCCTCCTCCTCCTCCCCTCTCCTCCTCCCCCTCCCCTCCCCCTCCTCCTCCCCCCTCCTCCCCTCCCTCCTCTCCTCCTCCTCCTCCTCCTCCTCCTCCTCCTCCTCCTCCTCCTCCTCCTCCTCCTCCTTCTCATTCCCCTCCATAGGGACGGGGGGAGAAGGGAAGATTCAGGTCCTCCTCCTCCTCCTCCTCCTCCTCCTCCTCCTCCTCCTCCTCGTCCTCCTCCTCCTCCTCCTCCTCCTCCTCCTCCTCATCCCCCTTCTGCCCCCCCGGCTCCCGCCTGACGCTTCGCAGCACTCTCTTCTCAGAATCGCGCTCTCGCGCGGGACGTCTACTCCAGAAGATCGCGCTCTCGCGCGGGCATTCCCTGCAGCGGATTGCAAGGCCGCGCCCCCAACACTCAGGAATTACACTCTTGCTCCGGCCTTTCTCGCGATGTACGTTTGTTTCGCGCTATCACTCGAGACTTCCTCGCGATGCATGCAGGACCGACGCTTCAGCGACCCGCCTGGTCGACCCCGCAGTCTGGGCCCGCCCGACCAACCCGCCCCGCCCGACCCGCCCGTCTGGTTCTGCCCGAAAACGGCCAATTCCTTAATCGACGTGTCAGGGTAGCAGGTCTATCCACCTCCGACACATGAGAAGGACCGAGCGCTGGGCAGACAGCTGGCAACGAGTGCACTGCCCCCGAGACTGCCCGCAGCATGTGTGTCCAACTTCCTGGTGTGTGTGTGTGTGTGTGCACCTCCCCAGGGGCACGATGCCGCCAGGAGGGCAGGGACATGGAGGCACGAGGCGCAGCGCGGCAGGAGGAGGAGACTCCTCGGAGTCCTGAGGATTCTTGGTACGCTCCTGATGAGAAACCGTAGTAGTCATACGGAGTGATGTGAGTTCAAACCCTCGTTGCTGCGCGTGGAACAGCCCGAGCACAAACGAGCGTGCGCAGTCCAAGTCTGCTCACACATGCTTTCAATAGTGAGCCTGGCGCGACCCGAATTCATGTTTGAGTGGGAACACGCTCGATACAAGCTAAGGACTACAGTCAGGCTAAATATTGAAACAAACTGAAGCTGATCCGATCTCAATGGAACGACCTGTCACAAGTCATGCAGTCGCGTTGTTTTACTGTGAGCTGATACGGTTCACAATGGAGTGCAGTACGGCGCGGCGTGGCTAAATTCAATGTAGTGCCATCCCTTGCTCGATTTTCTTGCCTTTGCAATGAAGTGCACTGGGTTTGCCCTGCACTGGCTTGCGGTGTACTGGTTTGTATTGGTGAGCGTTTTCTCAATCGGCGTTTCGACAGTGGGCGGAGGGGGTGGGGGCGTGGGGGGGGGTCTGGCTCCGGATCTCTGCTTAGTGCGACTGTTTGCATCAGTGCGTCCTATGAGGGGAGACTCCACCTGAACGAGACAGGCGCCAAAAACGGCCAAGATCTACTCCGTGTAGGGGGGGGGGTGCGAGGGCCCGCGCCGATCGGCAAAACAATGAATAAGAAAACGATCACTTGAGTATCTAGTTCGCTGCTCCATGTGGCGCTGCTCGCATGAAGTTGCTATCCTCGGGGCTGCATTGCTTGGCTCTTCATCTGCATTGCGCTGCCTTGCTGAACTGCGCTGTTCTGCCTGGGATTCCAGTGCACGTGCCCAACGAACGGGAGGCGAGCTCCCCGAGGAATGGTGGGGTCACCCTGCTGAGGATCCTGAGGGGTCATCCTCAAGGGACCTGGCTTCGAAGCCAAATGGCCACTGGCCCTCTCATTCCGAATGCGTTAGAGCCCCTTTGGCAAGCCCTGGGTAAACGACGGCATGCCCTCTATCCTCGTACCAGCCCCCGACAAAAAACAAGCCTCGAAACTCATCCCCTGGCCTTCCAATCTAGAACGCAATGTTGACCAACCTGCGAACCGAACCCGGCCGGTGGGAAGATCTCCAACGCGACCCTACGAAGCAAAAGCGTGATGGCCATCGGGTCGTCCCGTCGGCCTTACGTAGCTGCACACTATTGCGAGGACGTCCCGTTGGCAAACAAGAGAAGACATAATGCGAAGAACATCATGGAAGGGGCCCAGGGACACACAAATAATTACACACACAAATCCCAGGATTCCCCATCTGTTGTCATAGTTTCTGGATGTTCGTCTTCCCCCAACTTCGCAGAGTTTCCTAGATTTTCCCAGGGAGCGACGATCCATGGAGCCTGTGTGCATTTCCCTCCTGATCGGGGAGACGTAAGACCCCGGTACGGGGGACTCGGAAATCCCCGACGAGGTCGTCAAAAAAATGACGAGGCCGAGCCTGCATTTTGACGAGGCCTCCCGCTGCAGAGATCCAACGAAACTCCTCCTCGTCAAAATCCGAGGCGCGGTCGTCAAAAAACGATGGCGAACCCGAGTCCAGGCAAGCCAGGGTCTTACGCTCCCCCGATCCTGAAGAATACGAAGAACATCATTCCCCTCGTGTCCTGGTCGCGGCAGCGGGACCGCTGCGGGCGTCCGGCGCTGCTGGCCTCGGGGCTATCCCACAAGGTTGCCTGGCCTGAGGCTTCACCCCCAAAGCTATGATGATCCACTCGCACCTGAGGACCACATCCCAAGAACAATTTCGAGCACGCAGAATGATATCGAAACAGTGCCTCCCCGACACGCTGGCGAAATGTCAGACGACAATCGCCTTCCAGGGCCCGCACGTGACAACTCTCCAATCTCGGTACCGCTCTGGTGCTCGAGATTCTTCTGGTGAACAAGCTGAAGTAGGTCGGGACATCATAGCACCAAAGCGTGAACTATGAACCAGACGCTTCGATGGTGCCTTAAATCGCCTCCAATACACAAAATAAGAGGCTGCTGTAAGGACCCTGAGAATCTTCCCAGCAACTAGAGGCGTTTAACTCCCCCCAACCAAATGACAAGGTTCGGCATCGTGAACCCGGAATCTGTGGATGGAGCGCAGTGGTGCAACCTTGAACGCTGTCTTGCAATCTGGCCAAGATGTATTATCCGCCACCGTGCCGTTGGCTCCTGGAGGCCGTCGACTGTGCAAAGCGAAGCTAGAATCGACGCGGCGTTGTGCAGAAATGGGTTCACTGGTCCGCGGCCCATGGCCTGATGGTGGCCCCCGTGTCTGGGAAGGAGCTCAAATCGACTCGCTGGTGCATGGCACGCGACCCGAACGTGATCCCTCGTGACAACTGGATGGCCTCCTCGAGTCCGATGAGCAGGGGTCGAGAATCGAATCGGTGGCTCGCAGTCTGCGACCTTCTCGCGGCCGCTTGTGCAGGCGAGCCCAAAATCGAATCGATAAGTCGGATCGGCAATCGAAGCGATTCATACCGGAGGGAATCGGCACACAAGTCGGGAAAAATCGAATCGGCGGAAATCGGCAGCCTAGTAGACCTCCATTAAGACATCGGAATCCGGATCGGAATCCGAACTCGACTCGAATCGCATCGGAAAGCGATC